CCCCCCCCCAACAAAGAGCATGATTCAGGGCAACAGCTCCCTTCCAGAAAGGGGATGATGCTGCAATTAAAAGCTGTGAGGAAACCCCCAAACCTGAGAGGATTTTTGCTCAGTAAATGACAATGGCCGTGGGACCAGCCTGTTGATGACACTGAGCAAAACCCCAGTGTATCCGCCAGACAGTTAACACACCCAAGCAAAGCAGAAGCAAACTATCTGCATAGACACCACAGGGCTCCTCCCCAGTCCCCGCTCACTGTAAGGGACACAGTCCTTCAGCTCCTGCCTACACCTATAAACGGGAGCAACGCTGGCTTCTGGGTGCCTTAAGAAACCCTTGGCCCTGTAGCATCTGAGAGACTAGCAAAAAGTCTGGAGAGTGTCATGAGCTTTCTTGGCACAACCCACTGCCTCAGATGACAAACATGGAGCAGTGGGTGGTGCCCATGAAAACTTGATGTTTAAGTTTCTTTTAGTTACAGACTAACATGGCTCCCTCTGAGACTTTTAAACAGGCAAGGCTGGGAGCTTCCAGGACGAGGCAACGTGTCCTATCTACCTGGAGTATTTCACAGACCTGGTGACCATCAAGTGTGGACACAACTTCTGTCAGGCCTGCCTCAGCCGGTGCTGGGGGGAGTAGGAGCCCAACTTCTCCTGCCCCCAGTGCAGAGACACCTGCATCCCAACTACCAGCTGGGCAACCTGGTGGAGCTGGTGAAATGCCTGTGGCTCCCGGAGGGGAAGCCAGCGTGCGAGAGGCACCAGGAGGCCCTGAAGCTCTTCTGCCAGGAGGATCAGGCCCCCATCTGTGTGGTGTGTGACAGGTCCTGGGAGCACCATGCACACACGGTGGTGCCCATCGAGGAGGCTGCCCAGGAGTACAAGGTAGGGACCAGGCTCTGCAGGGTGGGGAGTTACAGGGGCAGTTTCTCTGCAGTGCAGAGCCCCCTGCATATGTCTGCCCTGCCCTGTATAGAGCCAGGGGCCTGCCTGAGAGCAGGTCCCAGCCACATGGGTGCCCCCTGCATATGTCTGCCCTGCCCTGCATAGAGCCAGGGGCCTGCTTGAGAGCAGGTCCTAGCCACATGGGCACTGGGCCAGGCTCAGCAGTGCTGCTGGGGAGTTACCGTGGGCTGGAGAGGGGGGACCTGCTTCCCCAGCCTCACTGCTTCGTGGTGCTGTTCTCCCTGGGCAGGAGCCAGTGGCCCCAAGCAGCCCCCAGAGCCGCTGTCTGTGTTTGCAGGAGCAAATCCTGAGCCGCCTGCAGCATCTTCGGGAGGAGAGAGACGCGCTCCGGGGCCTGGAATCCAACTGGGCCAAGGAGAGCGAGAGGCTCCTGGTAGGTGCCCAGCCCTGCCCAGCCACTTTGCACAGGAGGAGGGGGTCAGGCTCCTGGGGGTCATGGCAGGCTCCTGGTAGGTGCCCGGCCCTGCCCAGCCACTTTGCACAGGGGAAGGGGGTCAGGCTCCTGGGGGGTCATGGCGTTAGTTTCCACTGGTGTCTGTGGGTTCATCCCTGCCTGTCTGGGAGCAGCCTCTGGCTCTGCCTCTCTACTGCGGAAGGAGGAGGGGGTCAGGCTCCTGGGGGTCATGGCATTAGTTTCCACTGGTGTCTGTGGGTTCATCCCTGCCTGTCTGGGAGCAGCCTCTGGCTCTGCCTCTCTACTGCGGAGGGCAGGAACGAGGCCTGTCAAACTGCTATGTGCCCAGATGTGGCCGGATCAGACTGAGGAGAGATTTGAGCTGACCCCCAGGTGTGAGTATCCAACACCCCAGGGATGCCAGCGGCTGGTTTCGGCACCATTTCCCAAGGCCTGGGCTGCACCTCATTTTTTTGGTAAAGTGACAGGGGTTGGGGTGATTTTTGGTGATACTTTTGCCCTGGGACTAGCCCTGGGACAGACCCAGCTGGCCTGGCAAAGACACGGAGTGAAACGCTCTGCAAAACTCGGACAAGGCCCTGCCACTTCCCATGGCCCCGCTCACCCGCGTCCCGGCCCCACCCACTCTGCGCCCCAAGAGGCAGACAGACGTGGAGCGACAGTTTGTGCACTGGGAGTGCGAGCGGCTGCAGCAGTTCCTGGCAGAGCGAGAGCACCTCCTGCTGGCCTGCGTGAGCCCTCTGGGGCCGGGCTGGGCCATGGGCACTGACTCTCTGCTCTGTCTCCTTCCTCTCTAGGGCATGAGAAGCACTGAGAGCAGGTACGTCCGGGCTCCATCTGCCCCCCACCCCCGTCCTGCTGGTAGCATGCGAGCGCCTGCAGCAGTTCCTGGCAGAGCGAGAGCACCTCCTGCTGGCCTGGCTGGGAGAGCTGGATGAGGAGATTGGGAGGAGGAGGGAGGAACATGCCGCCCACCTGGGCGAGGAGATTTCCCAGCTCAGCGCCCTGATCTCGGAGCTGGAGGAGAGGTGTTGGCAGCCGGCGCTGGAATTGCTGCAGGTGAGATGGGGTCAGACATGCCTGGAGACCAGTGTGGGGAGGAGATGCCCCTGAGTCACTGGGGGCTCACAGGGTAACTCAGGGCAGGGAGCAGGGCCCAGGGGCAGCTGCAGGGCCACGGCCCCAGGACTGCAGAGAGGCAGGGGTTTGGGGCCTGGGGGAGGCTGGCAAAAAAGTGGGCCTGGCCCCCTGCAAAGCAGCTGGGGGAAAGGGCCTTGGTTCCCCCC